ACAGATGGGCCCTGAGTCATTTCTTGGATCTGTCTCCAAACACAGTGTGACAGTCAGAGCTACAGTCGGGCTTTGGAAGAGCTTGGCAAGGAGCAGACAGTGATAAATGTGCCAAATATCCTCTGACCTTCTAACTGTCCCGTTTTCCCATGGCTGTGTCCTGCCTGTGGCTGCAGTTGCCATCAGCTGAGCCCACAGCGCAGCAGAGATCACTTCAGTTACTGGTCTGGAGTGGTTTTATTCCAAAAAATCTAGGATACTTGAGGAAAGCTCACTTGGAGCTGACTCACTGAATAATCTTTCAGAATCACATCCGCGTTTGGCCTGGAGCAGAGGAAAGATTAGAAATTCCCCATCTCTGATTCTCATGAATACAGATTTCCATGCATTCATCAGTGCCCATGGCACTGCTCTGCCCGTGCCACGCTGCAGCTGGAAGTGCAGGAGGAGGGATCACAGGGAATGTTTGCCCATTATGGGAACCCCTGGCCTGGTTCAGGGATCCCATATGGTGGAAAAGTCTCTCCTCCAGCCCGAGCTTCCACAGAAAGGCTCAGCAGTCTCTGTTGTTGGTCTCAAGGCAGTTTATTGCAAGTTATCTCAAAGATTTTCTCCTGGGGCTGCTGTGGTTTGCTCAGAGCTCAGGCAGAGGCACACACACACCCTGACATCCTCTCTGACCCCGACTGCTTCTTCTCTCCCACCCAGGGCTGCTGCTGTCTTTGATATGGGACATTACGTGTTACATGGGTACAGTTTTCCCCAATGCCTATTACCTATATTAAATGGTGATTTTCTATCTTTTATATGTACATTACGTGTGACATGGTTACAGTTTATCCCAATGCCTATTACCTATATTAAATGGTGATTTTCTATCTTTTATATGGTACATTACGTGTTACATGTTCACAGTTTTTCCCAATGCCTATTACCTATATTAAATGGTGCTTTTCTATCTTTTCTATGGTACATTACGTGTTACATGTTTACAGTTTCTCCCCAATACCTCCTACCTATGTTACAAAGTGCTTTTCTACTCTAAACCAATCCATAAGTGCCAGCATCACCAAGAACATGGAGGTGAGGAAGAAGAAAGAGGAAGAACAGGATCAGCCCACTTTCCTCCATCATAGAACTTCTGAACCCCATGTACAAAGTAAAAACCCCCCTGTACAAGTGCTAAAAGCCCCCCGTACAATACTAAAAAATTTTCCCTTCTACTTTTTAACTATTTCTACTATAATATCTAACCCTTTGTGACTGCTTGTTCCACCTTCAAAGTTGGTAACTCATTCCATGGCTCAAACCTAAAATCACAGCTGTTTCCAGCTGCTTGCCAGAGTCTCAAATGCTTCTGACCAAGGCCTGGAACCTCTAAAAATGTCTGAGGGACATTTTGATTTCCTACAGCCCGTGGGAAGCATCCCAGCCTCAGGAGCCAGTCACGGGGGACACGGGATGGGGACAGCCAGGAGGGAAGAGACGTCCTTTCAGAAAGAACCACAATCCTTTCATTCTCTGCCTGTTTCTCTGGAGAGCTGGGAGTGTTTGTCCCCTTTCATTCTCCCTGCTAACTTTTATCAGCAGAGAAAAGCAGGCAGGAGTGACACCGGAGCAGAGCAGCTTCTCTGTGCCAGCAAAGCGAGACTCAAAGTCATGGCGCCGACTTCCTGTGATGAAATATTGATCCAAAACTCTGTCACACAAGAAGTGCTTTAAAATCACCCTGTTCTTATGTACAAATCTTTTTTTTTTTTTTTTCAACTGCAGCCTAGCGCTACCAGATCAATTCTGTAAGTTACATATGAAGAAAACTGACTTTTAAGAAAAGGCAAATATACCTTGTGAGGAATTTCAAGATGAATTATTGTGTTCAGCTTGAAATTCTTAAAATTCATTGTCATTTTCAGCAGCAGTGAAACAAAAGGAAGTTCTTTTTCTTATTCTGTAGACATTATAACTTATCAACCCTCTCTTCTTTATCCTTTGGCAAAAAGGACAAGAAAATAAATTGGAAGAAGAATTTTCTTGCAGCAAAGTTACCCAAAACCATGATCAATGTTCTCCAAGCAGGAAAATCTAAAGGAATCAAGGGCTTCATGAAACATTCATGGCAACAATATGCTGACAAATAGTTTCTCAGTCAAAACTTTTCTCTGCCTCTACTTAACATGGCCTGTGTGAACTCATTCCTGGAGCAGCAGAAGGCCAGAGGGGTTTAGCTCATCTAGCTGGGTTTTTTTTCCAAACAAACTCCACAAATCCCTTGAGGTCACTTGATGGAGCTAAATAAACCCTCTGCTTCTCCTGGATGTGCTGACTCAACTCCCATCCCAGCCTAGGCCCACACAGGGTCCTGGGCTGAAGGACAACGGGCAGGAGCTGCCAGGCCTCCAGGTATCCATGAGAAATCCCTCCATGACCAGAAATCCCATTTGGAGCCAGCCCAGCACACCCAGCCAAGGCTCCAGCCCCGTCCCCCTCTGCTTCACAGACCTTCCAAACCTGGGGTTTGCCTCACATCTACTGGTTGGATGAATTGTGAAATGATTGCCTGCTGATCATTAGAAAAACTTGCTGCAACAAGGCAAAAACCGGGATGAAAGAAATCAGGTGGCATCCCAGGAGCCATCACTAATTATTTGGTACCTAATGAATGACACAATTCGCTTGTTGACCTTGTCAATCTATGCACAGTTCTAACTAATTAATAAAAAACTGAAACTACCAAAGGTCTGAGATGTTTTTGGTCGACTTTGACCCAGAGTGACACCTACACTGATCCTGGAATGTTGTTAGATCTCAGTGACACAGGGCAGGAGGCACCAGAACACCAAATGCTGCTCAGATGAACTTGGCAAGATTCTGTGAGTACAATTTCATGGCCTGAAGCTGTGCCACTTTGCTGGGATAGCATCCAATGTCTCCTGTCAAGCTCCATAAACCAGGGTAATGAGTGAGGAGCACCTGGCTGGCCCAGGCAGGGCTCTGATTGCCAGCACAGGGCTCTGCTGTCACCTGGGCAGGGCCACACCAAGTCCTCACCAAGAAGGGACAATTGGCCTTTGCAGGAGGGGCAAAACCCAAGCGACAGCTACAACAGGAAAGCCAAAATCATTCCTGGTGCTGTTGTGGGAGGTTTTCAGTCATGGCTTTTCATGGTGTGAGCATCGCTCAGAGACTCAAGAGCCCTTTGGGGCTCTTCAGGAATAAATGAAAGCCTGTGAAAGCTTCCAAAGTGTTTCAAGTGAACACAACTTGGGTGTACAACTACACCCTTGAGCCTGGAATCAAGTGGAGACAAAGGGCTGCCAGAGTGGAAGACACCTTCCTCAGAGAATGTACTCACTTCTTTCCTTGAACTCTCTCTTTCTCAATTCCACCTTTTATTGATAGATGCAAAGTAAGACTAATGAACTATTGATAACCCTGGCACAAAGGATTATTAGACAAAGCAATTTCATTTGGGGGGCATTGATTTATATGTCACAACCAGAGTACAAATGAAGATGGTAGTTAGGAAGGATGAAGTTGAATGCTAAACAGGTTGGCATCCTGTTTATTCCTAACTCCTGCCTTAAATGCTCATAGACACATTTACTTGTACCTCTGGATATCCTATATATATCCTATATATTTAAAGATATGTTTGCAGATTTTCTTGTAATTAATGGTATTTGGAGAGATACCTGAAGCAACCCAAACATTCAAACAGGGCTGATGTTTTGAAGGGCCTGAACCGTGACAAGACACCAGACTGGACAGTTGGGTTTGAACCAGGATTCCCAAAAACACACCAAAAAGATGTCCAGGCACAGAGGGAATCCACAGGTGAAAGCAGGTGAAAAGAAGGGGTTTGTCCTAAAAAGCAAAGTCTGAAATGTGCCTGAGATGGAGAGGCAGGAGCAGAAGGATGGGTTTTACCATGGCACACTGCAGTGCCCTGTCTCCCCACAGCCTCTCAGAGAGCTGGAGCCAGCCAGAGCCACAGAGCTGCTGAGCATCTCAGCACCTCTGGTCCTGAGGCCCAGGAAGACACTGCTGCCAAATTTTAATTCTCTTTGTCTGTGGTGTTCACCTGACATTTATTGTGATGCCAACTGCTGTGTTGTTGTGAAACCAGGAGTGAGAGTTGTCCTCTTTCAGTGAAACCAAAAGGAAATTTCAAAGTCTAAGATACAGCCACCTGATTTTGTGGGCTGCAAAAAGGCAGCCAGCCCCCATTTCTGTCTTTAAAAGCTTTCTCCAGCTTTTAAAAGGTACTGCCATGGCCTCTCCCCAGCACAAGGAGTCCCTCCAAGTCCCAAGCTCAGCTAAAACAATAGAAGGGCAGTGCCCAGGTGATCTGACAGTGCTAAGGCAAAACCAATATCCCAGGATTTCCAGAGGGCTGCTCCACTTGTGATTTCAGTGTGGAAAATGGTAAAATAAAACTGAACTTTAATGAACTTTCAGAGGAAAAAGGTTTCTTTGTTTTAATACAAGCTACAACAACAGGACGTTGCCCTGCCTTAGGCTCTGACACTCAAAACCCATCTCCAATACTTTAGGGATTAAATTATTTTCTGAAAGTCGACTCATTCCCACCATTATTACTGCTATAAAGCTGTGAGATTTTTTGCTGCCCCCCTCCTGTTTTTTTTCCAAGGCTAGAAATAGATTGAACTGGCACTTCAGGATGCTGAGCTGCAGTTTCAGTTGAGCTCTGTGCTTCACAGAGATTTATCAAAAATGACAAGATTCAACATCTAGGAGACGTCTTGTAGTGCCCAGGAGCTCAAAGAAGATGCAGCAGTTACAACAGTAACCAGAGAGAAATAAGAAAAATGATAGAAAAAGAAACACGTGGTGCTCAAAAATCAAAGCTCTGGCAGGAATGGGCACTTGTGCTGGTCAGCACTGGCCATTAGTGAGCAAAGAGTCACTGCCTGCCTCCTCCAAATGAAAAACCAGGGAAATCAGCCCTTCATTTCAGCTATAAACTGCCTGGCAGGTACCTGTCAGAGGCCACAAGCTGCAGAGGTTTTCCCCTGTTCCAGTTGCAAGCAGCGTGGAATTGGGTGGAAGTGAGGAGTGTGTGTCTGTGATCTCTTCTTCTGAGCTGAGCCATCCCTGCAATAAAACATAGCACCCCATAAGTTCAGGTCTTTTTCACCCACGTGCATGTAATGCAAATTATATGTGAAAAAGGCTCGGGAAAAACGGGAATATCTGGGCAGTAAATGTGTGTGAAGTGTAAAAGCATCTCCCGGGCATGGTCAGCCTTTGCCAGGATAACCCAAGAAACCTGAGCAAACACTGGTGGCTGAGAAGCACCCTGCAGGCAGACCCCAGCATCCCCCTGCAATGGAATCAGGCACTGATGGAGGCTGGATCCCAGCATGCAGAAGCAGCAGCATCCTTCAGCAGTGCTCAGAGCAGGACCAGGAGATAAAACAGAGATAAAATACCTGGGGGCTGTTTCCAAGTCCTGCAGTGAGTCAGGCAGGTCTCTGCAGAGCTGGAGAGAAGAGCAGTGAGGGAAACCTCAGCAAGAAATGAGCACACCCAGGTTTCTTCTCACAAATAATATTGTAAATGCAGGTGAACCTGGTGGGAAGAAATGCTGATGTCTGACTCCAGTTCAGAAGGCTGAATGATTTCTTTATTATAACTATACTATAATATATTAGTATACTATTTAAAGGAGATATTAAAACTACAAACTACAACCTACTTGTTCTAACTCCCATATCTAACTCACAACTGGTGACCCTCTCTTGAGTCCAGCCCCAGGTGGGTTGGATTGGCCATCAGCTCAAACAATCCTCACCAGAATCCAACCAAGCAGCACCCCAGGGAAACAATTCTCCAAACACATTGCACATGGGAAAACAAGGAGCAGAAATAGAAATTGTTTTCTCTTTCTTTCCTCTGTGCTCCTCTATGAAAAAATCCTGAGAGAGTAAAGAATGTGTTTACCACAAAATAATGGTTCTAATAAAAGCCTGCAAGAGATAACACTGCCAAACAAAAAGTTTGCATAACAAAAAGGGATCTGAAAAAGAAACCTCCACAGTAAGAGTCAGGGAGGAGGTTGTAGGTCTCCTAATTGTTTTACAGAGGTCAAAGGCAAATTCCTCCATGAAGAACCACACACTGACCATGCTCCCCTCCCCTCCCTGAGCCAGGACCTTGTCCTGTAGACATGTAGAAACAGCCTGAAGGAGTTAGGCTAATCCAGGCAGAGGCAAAATGGAAATAACTCCCACAAGACCGCTGGGAAAACTTAATCCAATCTTCCCTTGTGAAGCAGATATTATTCCCCTTTTAGTTGCCTTCAGTGGTGATAAAGTGCAGACAAAGGAGATAAGGGACTTGCACACCTCACATTTCACCACTCACAGTAAATACACTCCTCGCTTTCACTTATCTTTCAGCCTGGTATGGATTTCCTTTTAGTAACCTCCTGAATTACAATCAAATTATACTTTCAGGGCCATTGAATTGCATGGCTTGCAGTACCTTAATGGGTTCTGTTCTGGCTGCTCAGGAAGGACTTGTAATCCCTGTCTTCTTCTATATTTCAGGGAGCCTTAAGGACGTGTTTCAGTGCCAGGAAAAACAGCCCAGGCCTTCAGTCACCAGAGAAAATGCCACACAAAAGTGCAGGGGCAAGTGAGACACATCCTGGAGGAAAAAGATCAGTACTGAATGCTTCTTCTTTTCCCTTGCAGTGCCAGCCAGGGTTTGGGTGGCACAGGAATCCCAAAACTCTCTCAGACACGAGTTCTGTGTGATTTAATGGTACGGTCGATACCCCAGGTGCCGACTGGTCTGCAAAATATTTGAAAATAAATGGAAGTTTTAATGCTCAGGAAATGGTGCAGAGTGCCACCTTCCTCCGGACAGCCTATCTCTTAGATGGGCTTTTATCCTGCAATAAAGAAGTTGTTTCTTTGTTAGTTATGGGCTCTGCAGCAAACAAAACTCAGAGTGTGGTCGGGAGCTTTGCCGGGCTGAAATCAATTTTTGAATTATACAAACATTTAGGTAATTGAAATGGAGAGGGAGAATAAACACAGGCTGAAAGCCTAATGAGACCTCTTGTTCTGGAGAGGATCTGGAAGGATCTGAAGGATGCAAAATGTCCCTCCTGCGCCTGAGAGCACCAAACCATTCCCAGGGAATCCCTCTGATCCCCCAGTCCATAAATGCTCAGAGGGGAAGTGGGGACACTCTGGGGGAAGAACATCTGTGCCTTCAAGGGGGAAAGAATACAAAGACCACGGAAAACAGCAAATTCTGCATTGCCACAGCACAGGGGACAGTGCCAGGCCCAGGGGACAGTGGGGACCTGCCACGACCTTGTGGAGCCACCAGCCCGTGACACTCGATGCTTTCCAGCTAAATCAGCAGGTTCACTGAGAAAAACTGCACACTGGAGATAATCAGAGTAGGAACTGCCCCTGTCTGCAGCTAATGGAGGGGAGATAAAAAATCTCCCTCCTCCCTTTATTCATCCCGCTGTTTGCCAAACCTTATCATGTTTTTTCCAATTGTATTCCCAATAAGCCACAAGGTAAGAAATAGTGTTTGCCAGCCCTGAAGAGAGGTAATCTTTGTTGGAAACATTTCTCAGGGAAAAAAAACCAAATAAGATGTGGGAGGAAATTTCCCCCTCAGACAATTGGAGGAGCTGTCGACAGGCAGCAGATGAAAGGCGAGGAGCGCTGGGTGCCGCGGGCCGTGCAGGGAACACGGGCAATGGCTTCAGCAGCTCTGGGTTCAAATAGAAAATTAATTTCTTTCTGAGGGGATCCAAAGTGCTGTTCATGCTGCCCTTCCTCTAAACACTTGGTGATTTAATTTTGCTGAGCGCAGAGAGGGATGAGAAGCGAGTCACTAAAGGAGGGAGCTCAGCCCCAGCTCGTGAGGCAGCTCTGGGGTCACGGTGACCCTCCCAAAATCTGTGTTTGGCCACAATATTCACTATTTCTGCCCTTCACTTGGAGCAGGAATCAGCCTCCACAAATCAGGACTTTATTAAGGCAGGCAGCAGGATTTCTGCTGGCCAGTTTCAGGGTGGAACGAGATGATCTCTAAGGTCCCTTCCAACCCAACCCATTTGATCACTCTGTGATCAATTTTGCACTGCTTTTCCCCAGCATTAATATTTCTGATGAGAAAATAAACTGTAACAGATGTGTTCTACCTTAAAAGTGACATGCTGCCTTAGCAAGAGGAGAAAAATGGATGAATATGAAAATGGGCATAATGAATATTCAGATACATTTGCAAATTAAGAGACTTCAACTGTGTCCTTGTCCTTTGTGCATTTTCCACAAATATTGAGAGGGGAACTCTCCTGGGAGAAGCGTTCACCAGCACAGCAAGTTTTGAAGAAGGAACCCACTCAATCTACAGCAAATATTCACAACATGAACATTGTGTGTATTCACAGGAGAAAGATAATTCTGGGAACCTCCAATTAGGCAGCAGCAGCTTTTCCTATGGTCTCAGGAAAGAACTAAAGAAAAAGGCTTATTTTGATAATTTTTTCAACATAGATTTTTGAAATGGGAAATACAAACATGAGAAAAAGACAGACTTCACCCATTAATTGTTCCCTCAGAATTGTGAGGGGGGGAATGCCCCCCTGGGCCAGGCTGGGAGCAGCAGCTACCCTAAGTCAAGTGTGTTGTTACCCATGTGCAGGGGCAGCTGAACCTGTGTGTGCTGACCTGCCTGACAGCCCTGGCTCAGGAATCTGCCTAATTAATTTTTAATAACCCAACCTTCATCTCTGCCTGCAGCCTGACCTGCTCTGGGGTGTGCTCAGTCATCACCTCCTCCAGCCACCCCGGTGCCACCTCTGCCTGAGGGAGCTGCATCCTTGTCTTAAAATCCCATAACCGTCCCCTTTTCCCTTCCATTAGCACTGCAGAGGATGCTGCTGCTGTGGCAGTGTCTCTGATAAGACACCCCAAACCCCAACAGAACCCAAAGCAGCAGCAACATCCCGTATTTACCCCTTCAGTTGAATCACCACAGTGAAGGGACATGAAAACCTCTCCCTGTAATTCCACCTGGAGGCTTTTTCCCACACTGAAACATTGCACATTGCCCAGTTTTGTTAGATTTCCCTCAGAGATACCCAATAACCTTCAAACAAACCCAATTCGTAACACCACCAGATGTGCTCATTTTGCTTTTCATGGCAATATGCTGTGAGAGGTCTCTGGGTGGGAGGTAACAACCCAAACAAGAACAATTTCTGTTTTGCTGGTTTGAAAGCGGAGCTTTCAATATCCTGGCCTGTCTCTGAGTTTTTATTTAAACTCAGGGGAGTTTTAACTTGGGGAATTTTTCAGTTTACAAAATGGCCCGACAAGGATAATTAGGGTAGAAACATGCCTGACAATTCCAAATGCTCCCTGTCAAGCATATGGGCTAACACCTATTTTTTATTAATTCCCTGGTTTTCAAAGGGTGATACAGTTGTATTAGAAGCAATGTGTAGGTGGCTCATTTTTCCCTCCTCACATTCCCTTTGACAGTAGTTTGAAATAACATTCATCAAACAGTGTAAAAGAAGTCGAATGAAATTAATTAAGCAACCTAGAAGGAAAAATAAGACGTCTTTCCAAGAGGACTTGCATTATTCAGGTTTATAGTGCTGCACAGTGCAATTTTCTGGGAAGAAAAGGCACGATAATGGTGTAACCCTGCTCCACTATGAAACAGCATGTTTGGAGCATCACTGGTGATAAGGAAGTTCTGAAACTGGGAGTTTCCTATTGAAGATTTGCTCTCAATAGCATGCAATATATACATGCATAAATATCTATTTGCTCATCTATCATTGCTGGCACCTGCCCCAGAAGGAATTGGAGATTTCTGATCCTCTCCCTGCCTTTTGGCACTCAGGGTTGGGGCATAGATGGCAATGCCATGTTTAATTCCATCTTGTCAAGTGAACAAAAGCCCGCTTTTTGAAAGTCCCTGTTGTTCAAGGGTGTTCAAACAAACATTGCCCAGGTTTTGCCCAGTAGCCACACGTGGCACTGCAGGGCTGGATTCCAGGTCCCCAGCTGGAATGAGGATTATCCATGGGCTGCACACTTCATGGCACACACTCCCATTCCACTCCCTGTGCTGCTCCAGCTCTCCCAGCCTCACTGAGCAGCTCTCCCCGTCCCAAATTCTGATTGAATCCAACCAGCAACACCACAGGGAGCTCATCTGCAGCCTCTCCAGGCACAGCCCTGGTGAGAAGTCATCCAGCCATTCTCTGTCGCTGTCGGGGCAGGACAGGAATGAGAAGACTGACTCAGAAGGCTGTGAGAGTAAAACCCTGGTTTATTCAAAATACACTGCTCTTTTATACAGAGCTCTGCAAGGACCAAATCCATTGGTCCTGAAGTGAAAACAACCCAAAGCATTGGTGCAAAGTGCTTGACGCACAGTGATAGAACTTAACTATAAACAGTGTGAAAAACAAGAGAGATAAAGAATTATTTACATTCTTCTCCAGCTCTTTCCAAGGCTTCTGCCTGCCTAGAAACTCTCATTTCTCTCTTTGACTGAATCTGAGACCCACACTCCTC